TCCTTTCATCTTCTTCGTGATTCTTGTAATACAACCTAAAACCTTCGGTCTTCTGGTAGATTTGAGTGTGTTGAGTCTTTGTTCTAGTTTTGAAAGGATGTCATTTGGGATTTTGGAGATATCTAGGTCCATTGAATAGCTGCCTATGATTTCTTGTTACTAGGTTGTGGTTTTGGGAACCCTAACATTATATAGACGGGTACAATGCTTTGTTCTGAGCCCAAATCGATGAAAACTTGATGCCTTTGTGATGTTCGTGTTCTAAAATCGTTAGGTCAATTTTTTGAGTCTTGATTTGTAATAGGATAAGATAGGTAAAAGGTAGCAACTTTTTCAATCAAAAACCATCGCTACGGCTTCATTGATTAGAAATACACATTAACAAAAAGGAAAAAATGAATTGGAGAAGATGGATAAAATGTAGCATTTTTTTTTTCAAAAATCATCACTTCCTTCAAACATGCCAGACCTGCAAAATTAGTAAAATTGATTTGAATGTAACTGCAGCAATCTCAATAATTAGGAATGATTTTCCTTCCTTCATTCTCTCAAAATTATGTACCCATAAGAGAAATAGAGAGAGACCTGAATAGAAATATTTACCTGCATTTAGCACATTGAGTGGCAAATCCACTGATAGTAGAGGCTAACCCTTTTCTCATTCAATTGACATTGAAGACAATAAAGATGCCCCATAAATCCCATTCATGCACCCTCAAGAATCATTTTCTTACAACCCAAAACCTCCAAATTTAGAAAGAGTATAAAATGAAGTACTACAAGAGAAAAGTCGACTAATTTACTAATATATTAGTAATGCTAACCTTGATTGGAGTGATTATGGTTGATTGGAGGGGGGGGAGAGAGAGAGAGAGAGAGAGAGAGAGAGAGATTGGGGTGGTTATAGTTGACTGGAAAGAGAGATTTGTCGAAATGGGGTGGGGATGGTGGATTGGAGAATTTGTATATATAGTAAAAAATTATTATTATTTATCATCTGATATTTAAAATATTTTTGTAAGTTTGTTAAATGTGAAATTATAAAATTAAAGTATTGTAGTTGTGTATTTTTTTTCATTTTTTTTTATTTCCATGTCACGCCATCAAAGAAACGGGTCAAACTCTTCTATTGCCATAACGGAATCAAAGAGCAAATATAGATCAAATAAGAGAGAATTCATTATCATATTGAATAACGCTATCTGCAGTTATTTACTATTGCAATCATCCTATATAACATATATGTGGCTGTTAGTGATTTGATATATGAGATAAGAAAAATTATCATATTAATACATCAAATCACAAACCGTAATATAGGATGCCACTTAGGACGACTACTAGACTATGAATAGCATTACTCTATCATATTATAGAAAATCATAGGGGAAAATTCCTTACCATAATACATCTAACTCTTGTTGCAATATTATAATAAATTTTTGGAGGCTTTAGATGATTTTGAGGAGGAGGAATGCGTCATCCAAGATTTGAAGAGATTCAAAATTAAAGGTTGTACCCATCTTTTACTCTAAATTATCCAAGTTATGTATTCACTTTTTTCTTATATTTTTGTGATCAAAATATGATAGGCTTAACCATTTATAGCTAGGAATAACAATAAAATTTTGTTAACTCTTTGATTAACTCATTACTTGTTTTTAGTTTAAATTCTTGCATTGCTGGTTTTTTATTATTCTCTTATTCCATTTTGCTGCTTGATCACCATTAGAAGACGTGTAATTCATATAGTTTCTGAAATGTTCGATATTGGTTAACACATGGTTAACATATGTAACGAAATTGAAGAAATGATTGTGGGATATTTCTTCCTTGAAATTGATGTGGTGGATGACTAATCCATGTATATTATCTTTTTTTTATCCAAATTTGATAAGGACAACTTGCCCATGAAATTATTTTTCTTCCACCGATCGTTAATAAGGATGACTTGCTCTATGAAATGAAAACCACCGGTCATAACATACAAAAAATTTCGCTACTCCTACATTTATAATTTGGGATGACAAAATCGCTCGAACTACTATGGTTACGACGACCAAGGTCAATGGAAAGAGGCAACTGCTTCATTGAAAAATCAGTAGTTGAAGTATCAAGAAAGATTCGAAAATCAAATTAGGCATATGGCAAACATGCTAACAAAGCGTCCATAAGGCGTATTTCCATGCAATACTAAAGCCAACCAGATAGACAAGCTCTAGAACAATGAGTGAGGTACAATTGTCCTAGATTTTGGATATGAGATTGGTCATCCAACCTGAGGAAGTACAAACTAAAAAGAACATGTATAGAATGAGAAATTGATCCTAAAATAACAAAATGAAAAAGTGACATTAAATGAAGTTGGAACTATCAAGCAATCCTCCAACTCTAATAATTGCTCTACAATTGATTTTGTGATCAATGTCAATGAGGAAGTTGAACTTTTCGAAGTTGAGTCAAATAGGGTGGTAAAATCAAGTCATATTTTCATGAGAAGCACTAAGTTGGTAAGGATATTTTACAAGCTCATTTAGACACTTAAATCTACTTTATGTATAATTAATTAGGCATTTCTACTCATTAATGTGTATATATTGTGTTTATAGGTTTAACTCTAAATTTAAAGGTGATTGATGCAAAAGAAATGGGTTTTGACATAAAATGACCAAAAGATGCAAATGTGGAATATACGTTTGTAGCATGTGAGGATATTAGATTATAAAGTGTTGTGCAAAGATCTTCCTATATAGGATAATTATATACATTGGAAAGATAGTTAATCTGGTGCCTGGGCTGGCCTTGAAAATTTTGAGCCCCAGGGGACAAATTATATACGAGGCCCTTAAACATAATTTTTTTTTTTAAGTAAAAAGTATCAATACTTACGAAAATGGAGAGAATGCGTAATATGAGCAAGTTGAGACCATTTGTTAAAAGTTGAAAAAGAGCCATTGATTTGCATATCCGCAATATTGATCTTTATACCAATTTTCCTTCTCAATTCAGCTACGTACTAGATCAAAATCTCAATAGGAAGCCTGTTTCAACTATATTTAATGTATGTCTTTAGCACAGTGGTTTCACTAGCAAATAATGTTCTGAATAAGTAAAATTTGCTAGTGAAAAAAGTAGCTTTCTTTAGCAAAATAAGTGAGTTATAAGCTAAACCAAAGATACTCTAAACTATAGCGAAGTAAAAAAATAAAAATAAATAAATAAAATTCAAGAAAAAGAATATATTTTCAAGAATCAAGAACAGAGAATCAAGGGCAAGAATTCAAAAAATGAAACGAAAAATCAAGAATTCAATTACAAATTATACAAATGAAAGTTGACCTTAAAAAAAGTTCACTATGTCTTCCATCTTCAAGGTCCAGGACATAAATAGCCAAACAATCCCTTGGGTTCAAATGAAGACAAAGAAAACTGCTTAGAAACCATGGCCAAACAATCCCTTGGAGTCTCAATTTTCTTCCATATTGGCTTTGAAACCATTCTCTTCTTTCCTGGAGTTCTTCAGTGGCAGAGAATTCCCTAGCTAAAATCCATGGATTTTTTTAGGTTTTGGTGTTTGTTGTAAATATGTGGGCTGAATGTTTTTTATGAGGCCCTAGGCCATGGCCTAGTTGGCCTTAGGCCAAGACCGGCCCTATCTGGTGCTTAAAAAAAAAATAATAATAATAATAATAATCGCAATTCCAGGATGTGGATCAAAAGTTATGCACATTTAACGTTCAGGAAACAAAAATGCCAATTTTATACGACTGGGGACCAAACTGCATAATTTTGAATAGTTGTGGACTGTGGTCTACAGAATCTTAACGACGACCACAGTTGGACATTTTTGGTGCAACTTTGCACCTATTTGTTGCGGTAGGCAGCTACTGGCGGCTTTTTTTCTGATAGGGACTCCAACTTACCGCCAAATTCGATGGCACTTTGGATATATTCAATTTTTTATATTGTATTTTTGTGATCAAAACATAATAGGCTAAACCCTTTGTGATTATGATTAATGATGAAACATTGTTAACTCTTTGATTAATTAATTGCTCATTTTGATTTAAATTCTTGTGATTGTTGATTGTTTATTATTTTTTATGCTTGATCACCATTTTAACATGTTTGTGACTTATATTATTTTTAAGAAAATCGGTATAAATTAGCACATGGTAATAAAAAATACTGGGTCGTATATGTAATTTATTCAAATTTTCGTGATATTCTAGTTTCATATTCCATTTTTATCTATTCACATCCTTCATAGAATATTGTTGAGTCGTAGATAAAATTGGTTTAATTTATCTCAAGAGAGAAAATTAACGTATAAGAAACTTCAACTGTCAATATAAATCAAGAATTGATTATAAACGGGTAATTAATGATTAAAGTTAGTTAAGCATGGGGAATTCTAGATCCTAACGCCTTTCGCAAACTCTAAAATTTGTTACCTTTTCAATTACTTATTTTAGTAGATAGATAAAATCAAAACCATTCTCAAAATCATAATTATGTGTATTTCGAATTAGAGTTAATTTTAATTAAAGTAAATAAGTAGATAGCATTGCCTTTATTGTACCTAAACTTGAGCACCTTCTGTTCAGATATTGCATGTGCATCTTCTCTGTAAATATTGCGGATATGCATTCTAAAACTTAAATTTTTAAGGGTAACTATATTCACATCGTAATTTTTCTTTCTTACAACACATTTAAATTACACTTAAGATTCTCAATTTTTACTCTAGCATTTATGTCACTAACAATTTTTCATGATATTCTTATCCTCAAAATTTTTTATTAGTTGAAATATTTTATAATCGATAACAGTTTATGTCCAAAACATTCGTTATAATAGTGTATAACAACTTATTTTCTCATCATATTTTAAAAGTAGGAAACATGTTTTCGATCATTTCGAAGCATGAAAACAAAATATTTTGACATAAATCATCATCAAGGATGAGATATACTATTTACTGGAAGGTAGTAAAAGAATTGTACAAAATGGTGTTGGTCCAAAGTGCCAAGACCAGAAACATGTATTCACTTATATAAGAGTTTACAATGAAGGCTATATATTATGTACAAAGAAAGAATAATGACTAAAAGGAAAGAATAAAGTTTAAAAGGAATGAAAGAGAAAAATGTTGTAAAGGAATGAAAGAAAAAAAATGTTGTAATCAAGCAATCACATCTCTTCCTATAATCAAGCAATCATATCTCTTCCAATATAGTATGCTGACTATTAGTTTCCTTAACATCCCCCTGCAAGCAAATAGGGGGAAGACAAACCATAAGCTTGGCCTTGAGAAAGAGAATCGAGAAGAAGCCCGCTCCTTTGTGAAAACATTGACAATTTGGTCATATGTAGAAATAAACTTAATAGCAACATCCTTATTCAAACTTTTCTCCCGAATAAAATGAACATCCACCTCCACATGCTTAGTGCGAGCATGAAAAATGGGATTGCAGGCAAGGGGAATAGTACCTAAATTATCGCATCAAATAGTTGGAACATGTGTAAGAGGGACCTGTAAATCTTTGAGAACCATCCTAATCCAATAGAGTCCGGCAACAGTCATTGCTAAAGCCCGATATTCTACCTTAGTACTTGATCGAGCAACGATCGATTGATTCTTAGCACACCAAGAAATCAAACAAGGACCTAAGAAAGTACCAAAGCTAGTGGTGGAGGGATGATCACCCGGATTACCCGTCCAATTAGAATCACTATATGCTAGTAAGTAAAGACTCCCCTTGGAGAAAGTAAGACCATGATCAACCGTACTTTTAAGATAGCAGTGGACATATTGAGCAGCCATCCAATGTATAGTAGTAGGAGCGTGGAGATGTTGACAAAGTTGATTGATGGAATAAGCAATTTTGGACAAGTAAGAGTGCAATATTGGAGAGCACCAACAGTTTGATGATATTTAGTGGCATGACAAAAAGGATCACCACTAGACGCAGCAAGCTTCGAACCTAAGGTAGATGGTGTTGAATACAGCCTGGTACCAACCACATGAGCACGATCTAAAATGTCTAATATGTACTTGGATTGACAGAGATGCAAACCTTGAGAGTCACGAGTGACCAGAATTCCAAGAAAATAATAAAGAGACCCCAAATCCTTCAAGGCAGGATCATATTTTACTTACTGGAGCAATAAGGCAACGAATGAGTTATGTGATCCTATAATAAGAATTTCATTCACATAGACCAAAATAAAAATATGAACATCAGTTTTGTGATAAGTAAAAAGAGAGTGATGAGCCGAGGATCCAAAAATCTAAGTTCCAAAAGACATTGAGAGAATCAATTAAACTAAGCTCTTGGAGCCTACTTTAATCCATAAAGGACCTTATTACTAGAAGGCATACATAATGCAGATGGTGTGGATCAACATAACTTTGAGGTTGAGAAATGTAAACTTCTTCATCAAGAGTACTATGAAGGAAGGCATTAGACACATCCAATTTCTTGATATCCCATCCAAAGTGTACGAGAAGAGTCAAAACAATGCGAACAGTGGCAGGTTTGATAACAGGACTAAAAGTCTCAGAAAAATCAATGCCACAAATTTGATTACATCTCTTAGCCACTAAGCGAGCTTTGCGAAGGTCGAGAGAAACATTCACGTTTTGTTTAATTTTATAGACTCACTTAGTGTCAATAACTTTATGATCAATAGGTTGGGGACAAAGGGTCCATGTGTTATTGGCAAGTAAAGTAGAATATTCCTCATCCATTGGCTTTTTCCACTCTGCAGAAACTATTTCTTGTGTGAAATTCAATGGTTCTTTAGGTAAAGGAATCCTAGCCAAGGCAGATATAGGATGTCGAGTCAAATAGTGGGTAACGAAATTAGGGAATTGCTTGGGTTGTGAAGAACTATTTATGATCTTGTCACAATTTGATTGGAAGGAGGAACTGAATCATTGGGAGGTAAGGAAGATGAGGTAGAACGGTGAGAGGAATCCGTGACTATGGGTTCTGTGGGAGAGATGACTTATTGAATGGGTGAAGAATCATCCACCGAGTGAGAAAAATTGTCCGAAAGAGGCAAGATATGGAGAGAGCTGAAAATATTAGAGTTGGATACTTGTTCACGTGGAGAGTGATCGGAATTGATGAGATGAGATATGGATTCGGTGAGGAAGAGTGATTTCAGTCAAAGGAGCTGCTTGGAGAAAATCTTGGATGCACAATAAGTGAAAATCTTTCAGTGGACGAGTGACAATGAACGTATCCTTGGCAGGAAAACAAATTTCATCAAACACTACATGCCGTGATAAATATACTCTCTTCGAGATGGGATCAAGACATTGATAACCTCTTTCATTGGATGAGTAGCCTATGAAGATGCACTGTTTACTGCAGAAGGCAAGCTTGTTTGTATTATAGTGTCTAAGGAGAGGATAACAAGCACACCCAAAAGATTTTAGTTGAGAGTAATTAGGTGATCTTTTGAATAGAAGACTATAAGGAAAGTCGGAATGTAAAATAGGAGTCGACGTCGATTGATGATAAATATGGCAGCGGAAAAGGCATTGACCCAAAATTGTTTTGGAAGATTGGATTGAGCCAATAAGGATAATCCAATTTCCACAATATGACGTTTCTTTTGAAAACTCTGTTTGTTGTGATGTATATGGACAAGTAAGTCAATGGAGAATACCATGAGAATTAATAAATGAAATGTATTGATTTGGAGTATATTCTCTACCATTATCTAATTGAAATTGTTTAATTTTACAAGAGAAAAGGTTTTTCGCTAATAGTTTAAATTTGACAAAACAACTAAAACTTCTGATTTAGTTGAAATATGATACATCCAAGTAAAACGTGAATAATCATCAATAAAAATAGCATAATATCGACAACCACTTGAAAGACACAGATTGGGAAGTTGGCTATGGTTCCTCGTGCATTGTGTAGACGACTGATGGCTTAAATTGCTAACAGAGCATTGCGAGACAAAGGAAAGGCCCAATTCCCTTTGTAGACTAAGGTTGATCCAAAAGAGAACTTGGCCCAGTCTCAACATGCTCCTAAACTAGGTGGTGCTTTTGCTGATAGTGAACTAAATGTTTACGTCGAGGATCTCCTTTCGATCTGGGATATCCTATTCTCTTTCTCCTAATCCCGATCTTTATTCGGTTAAGATTGAATAATCTTTCCTATTCGGCTTAGTCTTTGCCGAGCTTTTTTCTTCCTTCCTTGGCTCAGAAGAGTGACTTGAGATTTAACGGACTAACCGACACTCTATTAGACCGATTAACCGATAATTGTTTAATTTTTCCCTAATTGACGATAAGGACAAATAGACTCTTGAAACAAAGAATCAGCAATTGGGAAGTTAAAGGAGAAGATGATTTGCTTGGTCAAGCATGCCACATATCAAGAGAGGTTTTGGTCCTAAATATAGCTTCACTAGCACAGTAGTCATTAGGAAAAACTTTATTCAACGTGATAGAATAGAGACCACCTTCACTTTTTCCCTCTAGAAGCTTTTTTTCCCGTTATCTTGTCCTTGACACAATAATGAGTATCAGTTAGAATAAAATAACAATTGTTATCCAGGCAGAATTTATTGATAGAGAGCAAATTGATCAAGGCATTAGAAAAATGTAGTACATCTTTAAGGGATAATTTTTTTGAGGATTTTGGATAGAGAAAGAAATGATACTGGAAATGGAGAGACCAGATCCATTACCTACAGCCACCAAATCCTCACCAGTATAAGGTTCCTACAAAGACAAATTAGCATCTTATTAGTAATATGTTGGCTTGTCCCCAAATCAACATACATTGGACTCCTAAAAAATATTGTTGCTTTGAGCAACCATCGCAACAAGTTGTGTTGGTGGATGGCGTCCCTGATAACTGTAATTCATGTGATGGTAGCAGTCCAAGGCTTGGTGACTTGTTTCTCCACAAATTTGACAGCTAGTGTTAGAATAAGAGTTTCCATTGCCACTGGGCATTAGATTGGATGGCCCTTCTTGCGCCTTTGTAGATCCTCTTTGCGGATGAAACTTTGAAAACTGTGGCTTGCATGAACCTTGTCTTAGAGAATTTTTAGGAGTATAATTTCGTTTGTTACGCAACTTTCTTCCCTCATGTGGATTTTTGCGAGCAACTATAGCAAATGTCGGTTGCTTCATAGAGGATAAATGAGCTTGGTTGTCGATCATTATCTCATAAGAAAGCAAATCTGATTGGAATTCATCAAAACTCATAGTACTATATTGCAAGGCAAACGAAATATACATGACAAAAGGATTAAAAGTTGAATTCAATCGACTCAACACGTAAGAGAGAAGATCATTCTCACTTTCTAGCTTACCAACAACTGCAAGTTGATCGGCAAGGGATTTGGCGGCAATAAATAATCAGTGCATATTCTATTTCCATGCAACAGTGTCTATAGTTGGCGCTTGAATAGTTGCACATGGGTAGGCAAGTGTGAAGTATATAGCTTGGCTAGAGAGTCCCACACTTGTTTGGCAGAGATAAAACCAAAAACAGAAAGAAGGACTTTATCTATTAGAGTAGCATTCAGCCATCCTAGGACAAATTGATCCTTCTTGTTCCACATAATAAATTTAGGATCAATATCCTTGGTAGGCTTTCCTCAAGTCAAAAAATTTCTCAAGACAGGGTACTGAACCATCCACAAATTCTAGCAAATCATCACTACGTATAGCAAGTTGCAGCTATGAGACCAATTAAGATAATTGGTACCCTCCATCTTCACCGAAACCAACTGAGATAAGTTCGGTTGAGAGGAACCACGGAAATGGAAGCCATTGATAATAAAATGACAGGAACTTGTTTTAGTGTAAGCTATAGAAGCTTTGATACCATGAAAGAATTGTATAAAATGGTGTTGGTCCAAAGTGCCAAGACGAGAAACATGTATTCACTTATATAAGAGTTTACAATGAAGGCTGAATATTGTATACAAAGAAAGAATAAAGATTAAAATGAATGAAAGAAAAAAAAATATGTTGTAATCAAGCAATCATGCCTCTTACTCTAATCAAGCAATCATCTCTCTTCCAATATAGCATGCTAACTGTTAGTTTTCTTAACAAGTAGAAGATAAGAATTCAACGAAAAAAAAGTCATGAAAATAATTACTACAATGAGAAAAGATTATAGAACTTAAACGCAATTAAAATGTGGTGTAACAAATGAAAATTGTGGTATCAATATAATCACCCTCTTTTAATCATATTGGTTGGTTACTAAATTTAATAAAACCAAATAACTCACTTTTCATTACGAGGAAAATAGTAGGAATCAATAAATTACAACAAATTCATAATGCCCCAATTGTGTCTTGAAAGCTTTTTTAAAATATTATTTTCAAACACACTGATCTAGTAATAACAAGATCTCCAATTGAGTCATGTCATTTGTATAAAATTAGTTGACAAAGTTGATTTATAAAACAACATCCACACTAGTCATTTCAAAAATATTTTTTTTAAAATCATTTGAAATTAAAAGCCAAGATTATGCCAAAACTTGTTTAATTAACCATTTTTGTCAACTTATTTTGTACAACTAGATTAATTATCTCCAACTTATCTTGTAGAGCATAATTTGCCCACGCATAACTCATCCACCAATTCTTCAATAGTACATATAAGGTGAATTATTAAAGAATCTTTAATAGTCAGACTCTCGTCCATGTAGTCAACACAAAATCTATATTATATGTAGAATATATTTCATTAATTTATTATATTGACCAAAAAAATATTAGAGGTGTTAGAACCCCAAGGCGATTGCCATTTTATCCTGGGATAAGACACCTATTTTTTGAGTACTTGATTGTCAATAGACATCTTAATTAAGTTGAAATTAATGAGATAAAATTGAATTAGGTTAGCTAGTTTGGTGGATTTCATCGAGTTTAACACCATAAATATGTTCTGTTGTAAAGCCTAATTATTGTCATTTCATAGAGTTTGCCCTGATTTATCTTATAAATGGGGGGAGCTGTTATTAGTCTTTATTATTATCATAAAAAGAGAGGCTAGATGATATAGGTGTGCGATTTTCTCTTGTAGATCTTTTTTTTTTTTTTATCATAATGAATTACTGCAGCGTCGGGAGATAATGTAATTTCACATTGAGGTGAACCTACAACGTGTTCTTGAGTGTTCTTTTTTTTTTCTTTTCCTTTTTTCAAATTGTTTAATCTCAACGAAATAGAAATGAGATTTATAATTTTCAATAAAATATACAATGGTTAATTCATCACAAAAGAACCATTGGTCAAGTGAATAAAAACTACTACTGACCTGAAAATAGGACTGGACAATTCTTCGAAATCGAATCGATCGAACCGAATTGAGCGATTCTTCTTAAATTAAATACTCAAACGTGTATTTGAATCGAGAATCAACGGATTTAATTCAGTTCTTGATTTTAGATCAAGAACCAAAGAAATGAATCTCCTCAAATTTTTAATTAATTTATTTTAAATAAGCTAAATTATTTTATTTTTTCTCAATAAATTTGATAACTAGTTAATTTAGTTCAAATCCAAAAATATGATTTTTCTATTTCTAATTTTCAGTTCAAAGCCAATTAATTTAATCAAATTGACTTAAGTTTTATCCAAATCGGTTACTTTACCGTAATGCCGTTTCTACCATTTTGGAGAAATCGAATTAAAGTTCGACAACACCTCTCTTAGTTATTTTGAGCTCGATATCTTCATCTTCCTGTAATTTTAACAATCAAATCTATGAAGAACTCAGCAAAGAGAGACGCAAAAGATACATAAAATTGGACTACATTATTTTATAAGAACTAAAATTAAATATATCATTAGTTGAATTAATGTAACTTTGTAAATATAAAAAAGTTTAATTATAATACGAAATTTGAGAACTGAATGGAACCGAACTCGAACAGTTCTATAATTAAATTTGGATATAACGGTTCCATTTACTAAATTCCTGAAAATTTTGGGTTCGGTTCAGTTCTAACAAGAACTGAACACTACATGGCTTCAAGTTGACAACAGAGAAATATATTTAAAATTTCAGAGTCAGAGAAAAAATCATTATAAATTGAGGAAAATATTACGTTAAATTTTTTGTTTTTAGTTGTTCTTAGATTTCAATTTCTTATTGCTATACTTCTCAGAGTTATGCTAGATGGACAGGGCCACGTTTGCCCTATCCAAGAAGAATAACTCTATTTCTCGATAGTAATAGTAGTACAAACTAAACCTTGTGTGTTAAGTGACAAAGTTCAACATCAACTAAAGATGAAAACATACACCAACTTATAAATAATTATGCTATTTCTCTTAATAAGGTTGACATTCTAAGATAAAATTTCAAATCTTAACATAATATCAAAACTCATTAAACTTTAACGAGCAACTCGATCCATTTAAGACTCAAAAAATGAGCACACGAATTTAAAAATTGGTTTGCTCAAACGAGTCAGTATCTTATATGGGCATGTTAAAAGATATAATTCACGTCAAATAAAGATAAATATAGATCAACTTATAAAAAGTTGTGCTATTTTTCCTAATAAAGTTGACTTTTAAGTTGGAACACTAGATCTTAACATTGTAATCCAAAATAATAATAATAATAATAATAATAATATTTTTTATTTTCATTTCTCATGCTCCAATAGGTAAAAACAAAGAACTTAGCTTTGCACCAAGTTATGAGTAACGAGGAACGTTGATTGTACAAGATCTTATTTTGCTTTGATATAATTCATTTTTTGTTCATTCCATTTCCATCGAAATGATCTTAAGTATTTGCAATAATGATTAGTTCACAACTCATATTGCTTGTTTGCTGTTTTTAATTAGGTACTCTCTTTAGCCGTTCTAAGCTTTAGAGAATAATGCTTTTGCTGTTGGTTTTGTTCAATTGTAGCATAAAATATAACCATCCTAGGATTTTTGTTGAATTACTTCTTTTTCTTTTTTTCAAATTTAGTTATACTCTGAAATGATCATACCCTATTTATTACATTTATTTCTTTGATTTCTTTCTGTTTTATCAGAATGTCTACGAATAAAGTGAAACGACCTATCTCGGATCACCTTAGTGGACTCAACATGTGTCGTGCGCCGATGGTAAATACCAGTTAAACGTCGGACCCACCATCAAGGCAGCTTTGATTTACTTGACTAAAAAATATATTCAACAAAATTTTGACAAAATTTCCCCTGAAATATGAACTAAAACCTCCTGAACAATAACTAATTTCCTCAAATCAATACCTGTAATATAAATCAGGTGCCCAGTTCCTCAAAATACAAATTAGTCAAAATAATATGTTGGAAAATCAGTATTTTTACTTTGCTCTACAGCCAAAAGTCCTCAAATGTATCAAAGATATCAAATATGTAGTGAGCCCATGATAAACTTTTCTAACAAAAACTATATTTACCTCAAAAAAAATATGAATTAAATAAACTGACAAAATGGGTCATATAACTGATGACCATGTATGTGCCTCATTTCGATGAATCGACAGGCTCCTAGCTTCTCAACTCGACTGCTATCTGATAAAGAGAAAGGGGTAAAAGCAATATGAGCTTAGAGTTCAGTGGGTGGATAATTTCAAAATAAGTATACTTTTTTCTATTTATGCATGTTTTTTGAAAATTCTTACACTACTAAAACTTTTAGAAATTTTGAAAATTTAGTAACGCTTTTAAAACTAAATATGATTGCATCATAAAATTCTTCGTTCTTAATTCTAGAAAAGCAACTATAAAATATAATGACTATAAATAATCTGATATTCATGAAAAACTATGAAATATTGATGCTGCTCAATACTATAAGTTGAAAGCTTTATTCTAAAAATTGAATTAACTGAATTCTATAATCTGAAAACTGTTAAGCTGTAGAAATACTGAAAAATCACGCCAAAAAAGTACACAATGAATAGCCTTACTCATGTACAGAGTAATCTCGATGTACAAGGCAAAGTCATTCAAATATGATAATTTGGTCATACATAAGCAGAGCTACTCCAAAGGCTAATCGCGCTAGTACATAGGCCAAAGCCTATGTGTGTACGAGAATGAGTCCCAAAGACCTCTGATAATCTGGTCATACACTATGAAAACACATTCACAATAATACAGAGCGGGTAAAATCACCATAACTGATCATACACTGTGTAAACACATTCACACCGGTACAAACTGGGGTAAAATCACCTAGGTACTCTCTAGTGTTTTTAGAAATAACTTTAGTTATACTGAAACATTTATATTCATATAACATGCTAATCAAATGATTTGATTGAACAAAATTTAACTTTAAAAATAACGGATTATAATTTCATTTTATTCTAAAAATCATGCTGTCAAATCAACTATATGAAATACTAAATTTTCTAATCTAACATAAATTTAATAAATATTAATTTTTGAAAAATAAGTTTTATATCCTCTCACAGATATATGGATAGAAATCTGGCTAAATTGACAAGTCTTTCCAAGCTTTCACATCACTACTTGAAATAACGATATAATTACTCAAATTAAAAGCTGACAATTAAATTAATACAAATCCACAACTTCTCAACTTCTATATTTATTCTTACATCTCCAATTCCCCAACTTTTCGTCTCTTTAATGATTTATCAACTAATCACCATTCATTATAAGATCCATTAAATCACTCACACTTCCTTAAAATTACTACCTTATTCATATATAACCCCTATACCGAATTTAGTCCAATACATGAACTTCAATATTTGTCATATAACTTCATTCAAATCTTTAAAAATCTGAAAATAAGAGCTTTGACAAAAACAGCACTAAAATCCCATAATATTAAAATCTGGCACCAATTTCTATATTACAATCTGGTATCAAAACCTTTTACAAAAATAGCGCTATTCTGGGTAGACTTTCATAAGCAGCACTTGAGTAGGATTTTGTCCCAGAATGGCTTATATTAATTATTTAAAAATGGAGAAATCAACCGAAAATCCTTAATTTAAGTGCTTGACATCATATTATCCCAAAAAGATCAAAGAATAAATATCCATTTCATAAACTCATTTACAAAGTTCCACTTTCTTCAATTTCAACATTCAAATAAACATATTTCTTTGCTATATTTCTAATTATAACACCAAATACATATTAATAATACCTAATTCTAGCTAAGTTTTGAATTGAAACAAAATTTCCATAAACCCTAAGAAAATTTAATTTAATATACTTGTTCTTACCTCTCTAAATCAAATGAGAAATTGAAGAAATGAAGCACCAAGCTTGGAAATCCACTTCCTCTTCTTCTACTCCTCCTCTTCCTTTCTTTCTTCCATTCTCTTGGTCTCTGTCGGTCTTTCTCGACTTTTGCCCCCAAAAATGAAAAAAATGGAAGTTTATCTCCTAAGTTAATGGATAATTATGGGGTATTTGCAAGTCAAGTCCCCCAATCTTCATACAATATCACATTTAGTGCTCACATCTTCAAAAATAGAAACTAAATCCCTAATTCCTATATTACACAATTTCTAGCCCTTGAACATTTATAATTACAATTTAAGTCCCATGAAAATTAGTTGTTCCACTTAAATTCTTATTTGAATTTGACTTTGACCAATTATTTCTCTTGACCTTGACTAAAAATGAGAGGTGTAACATAAAGTGCTAATGGAATGGAAAGAGCGCATGCTGTAACACGAGATACCACAGAAAATTCAGTCCTTGCGGTGAGAACTCATTAGTATTGGTCATCTAGAATTTTAAGCTTTTATTCCATTGAAATTATAATTTCCAGAGGCAAATGGCCAGGAAAAAAAAGTGAAAAATAGGATTAACCACCAACAGCTTGTGTTCATTTTTCTTATCCTGTCTATGGCACTGATTTTAACGTGTTTGCCAACTCGTGCAAATTATTTCATTTTCTTGAGTACTATATATAAGAGATTAACAGATGATCTCTTCCAAATAATTGGTGATCTCTTTCAAATGATCAGTAAAGCTTTTTATTTGAGTCTATATTTAGCTCATATTTCTAAGTTATTTATAAACACTCAAATTACTTTTTATTCACATATCTCCAGAGACCAATAAGCACTATTCATTTACACAACATTAATTTTTTTTTTATCTATTTATAATATAAATCAATTACAAATACTAATAAGTTAGTTATTTTTAACACAATAAATAATAGCTAATTGACTGCAGCACATACCTACATAATTTAACCCCTATTTGATTTGAATTAAAATTTTAAGTCAAAGTCAGTAATTAATTTTAACCACATTTCATGAAACTCACAAATTTTCAACTACACATTTTGAATGATTATGAAAAACAATGACAAGATTTTGAACCATGACAACATGGTTATACGGGGCAGCCCAAATTTGACTTCTTAATACAAGTAGGCTTTCTACATGGAAGGAGATTGAAGCACAAATTTTAACCTAATCTTGGACTATGAATAGAGATGTTCATCTATCATTAGGGGGAAGGAAGCTTTAATACACAAAAACACATGATGATATGCAATTTTCATACCTTCTTGAATTTAGGATGAGAAGATTATTCAAGAATTATTGAAGAGTTTCAAGTGTTCAAGAGCTATTTTCCATTTTTCTTTCTACAATTAAAATTCAGGTAATGTATCATCATTCTAAATGTTGTTTGTGTAATTTCATGATGCTCGATTAATTTTCTAAACACTAAATTGACGATGAATCCTTTATTTTGAAATTTTAATGTTAGTTCAAAGAATTTGATGTTAAATACTTTGGGTAATTAGCACAAAACGTTTATACCTTTTAATGTTATTGTTCTAAGCGTCCTTACTTTTCATTTTTTGTACGTTTACCCTTACATTCACCTTTTGTTGCGAAAATTTCTTGTGTAAAATAACAAGTATACCCCTTATTTAAATAAAACAATAAAAAAGAAAAGAAAAGCTAAATAATAAATTGCAATCATACTCCTCAACTTTTTAAAAAATGCAAATGAGTCCGAATAAATTATTAAAAGGGCACAAAACATTTCTACCTTTCATTATTATTGTGCAGAACGTTCCTATCTTTAATTTTTTTACATTTTCACATTTATCTTTATATTTCATTGCAAAAATTCCTTCCTCTTTAAATAAACAAAAATAAATAAATAATAAAATGCAATTATACTCTCAAATTTTTCAAAAAAAGTACAAATAAATTTCAAATAAATAATTAAAAAACAAAAATCGCTTTCTTTTTTAATTATTTATTTGAAATTTATTCATACTTTTTTTTTTGAAAATTTTGGAAATATAGTTATAATTTGTTCTTTATTTTTCTTTTTTTTATTTTTTATTTAAAGAGGAGTGTATCTTTGTCATTTTACAGCTTTTAATTGAAAAAATAGATGAAAATAACGATTTTTGCAATGAAATATGAAATAAATGTGAAAATATCAAAAAATGAAAGGTATAGACTTTTTGCATAGTAATAATGAAACATATGGACATTTATGCTAATTACCTTTTTAATAATTTATTTGGACTCATATGCACTTTTTTAAAAAGTTTGGAAATATAATTACAATTTATTTTTATATTTTTTGACATTTTCACCTTTATTTTTATATTTCATTGCAAAAATATCTTCCTCTTTAAATAAACAAAAATAAAGAACAAATTGCAATTATACTCCCAAAATTTTCAAAAAAAAAAAAAAGTACAAATAAATTTCAAATAAATAATTAAAAAAAACAAAAATCGCTTTCTTTTTTAATTATTTATTTGAAATTTATTCATACTTTTTTTTTGAAAATTTTGGAAATATAGTTATAATTTGTTCTTTATTTTTCTTTTTTTATTTTTTATTTAAAGAGGAGTGTATATTTGTCATTTTACAGCTTTTAATTGAAGAAACGGATAAAAATAATGATTTTCACAATGAAATATGAAATAAAGATGAAAATATCAAAAAAAATAAAAGATATAGACGTTTTGCATAGTAATAATGAAACGTATGGACATTTGTGCTAATTACCTTTTTAATAATTTATTTGGACTCATATGCACTTTTTTAAAAAGTTTGGAAATATAATTACAATTTATTCTTATATTTTTTGACATTTTCACCTTATTTTTATATTTCATTGCAAAAATATCTTCCACTTTAAATAAACAAAAATAAAGAACAAATTGCAATTATAATCCCAAAATTTTCAAAAAAAAAAAGTACAAATAAATTTCAAATAAATAATTAAAAAACAAAAATCACTTTCTTTTTTAATTATTTATTTGAAATTTATTCATACTTTTTTTTGAAAATTTTGGAAATATAGTTATAATTTGTTCTTTTTTCTTTTTTTAAAGAGGAGTGTATATTTATCATTTTACAGTTTTTAATTGAGAAAATGGATAAAAATAACGATTTTCGCAATAAAATATGAAATAAGGATGAAAATATTAAAAATGAAAGGCATAGACGTTTTGCATAATAATAATAAAACGTATGGACAATTTGTGCTAATTACCTTTTTAATAAATTATTTGGATTCATTTGCACTTTTTTAAAAAGTTTGGGAATATAATTACAATTTATTCTCTAACTTTTCTTTTCTTTTTTATTGTTCTATTTTAATAGGGGATATATTTGTCATTTTATACGAGAAATTTGGTGAAAAATGATTATTTATGCAGTAAAAGGTGAATGTAAGAGTAAAAATGTCAAAAAAATGAAAGGTATGGACGTTTTGCACAATAACATTGAAAGGCAAGGACGTTTTGTGCTAATTACCCTAAATACTTTTATGACTTCAATATTGTTAGGTTATTTGCTTTCAATTACTTGATCTATTATTGAATAATTGTGATTTCTATTTTGTTCAAGAGAAGGAATAGAAATTATAGCATGTAGTATTGATCATTGTAGAGTCTTACAAAGAATAAAAATATACTGTTAAAGACATGATCTTATAATGAATATTTTTGGAACTTAATTCATAATTATATTCTAAAATCTGCTTGGTTGAACGACTTGATTTCACATCCTTCATAGAAATAATGGTGTCATATGTAAGATTTTTTTTTTTTATTACTCGAAATAGATTATGAAATAAAATAGAAACATTAATCATCAAGAAACAAATATTGTTAGTTAGTTGAATTGTTATTAAAATGCAATAATGTAGGAGGTCTCAAGATTATTGTGATTTTAGTGACTTTAGGTTTTAACAATTATCAATATCAACAAAATTTTACTATTCGATTAAAGTTTAGTATTATTTGGAATCTAATTGAATACTCGGTCCTTGTGGAACTTTATTCACTCTTTATAACTCGTCTATGATATCGTATACTTGAAAAATTTAACGAACAAGTTTTTGACGTCATCGCAGGAAGCTATATTTTATTTAGTTAGTTAAAAAAATTCCTATATTATCGTAATCAAATCTCAAGTAGAAAGGTGCCCCAAGACCACAGTTATCATAAACTAGAAACTCGTGATTGTCACCTTTAGAACCTTCACGCTAGATCAGTTTAATGCAGAAGAGGGCTAGCTTCCTTGTTAAATATACAATCTCCTGTCTCATGAAGTCCAAATCGCCTTATCTTTTCAATGACTTAGTCTTTACTCATGTGGCCGCTGTCTTGGTTTAATGAGCTTGGGTCCTTTTCGCCCTCTTTTACAAAAACATATCGTGACAAAACTTTGCTTGCCAAGCCTTATATAACATCTATTGATCGGCTACCAACTTTGACACAATGACTCTTAAATGATTCATGATCACATTTTTGACTTGTGCCTTATCTCAATTTGCAAATGAATTCGATGCCACTCTAGATTTTTGCTCCGTATACTCACTAAACTCATCAGTATGAAAATTCAATTTTTTATGTTCACTATTCTTCATATTATCTTAATTTGTCATAAAGTGAAAAACTTTAAACATTACATAAATTGATGATTTTAAATTGTTGAAAGTCAATAAATAACATCTTCAGTTGTATTCAAAATTTACTTTTTGAAAAAGTAAGTTTAGATTTCCTTTTAAAAATGAAGTTTTGTAAGTTAAAATAATATTACCTCCATTCCATAAGGATGGACATAGTTTTCATTTTAGCCTGTCATAAATTATAGGACACTTTCCTGATTGAAAGTATATAGACAGATAATTTTCTAATATGCCTCTATTCAATATATTTTGTTATCAACAAATATAAATTAATCTTATTTAAATCATTATTAATGTAGGTATATATTAGAAAAATGCAGGAAATGTTACGCTCCAATCTGAACCACTTCGGAAAGTCTTCCACTGCGTCATACGAGGTGTCCAACACCCATCCGATGTGGATCTGAAGTGACTCCATCACCAATGTTGGC